TATAAGGCCCAGGGATTTAGCCTGCCTCACAAGTGGAAGGACCAGAGTTCAATCCCCAGTATCAAAAAAAAAAAAGGGAAAAAAATTGAATTATATGGGATGTGGCTGTAGGTCAGGACTGCTATGCTTGTATAGCATGATGAGGTCCTGCTTTCAATCCACAGTACCACACACATGCACACACACACACAAATTGTGTAGTTAGGTAGATCATTTTATTTATTTAAATTATATCACAATATGTTTGAAAACAGTTGTAGAGACAGACACACTTTTAAATGATAACAATGGCATGATTATCTGTATACTAAAAGTACTAAAATGTAGGGGAGAAGGGATACCCTTCACTAAAAAGGAGGTAATTAATTTCAAACCTAAGGCAAGAAGAAGAACCACATGAGATTGATAGTCCCCAAATAATTAGTACATAGTCATCCCTGAACTCTTCTCTGTGATTTATTTTTATAAGTGAAATCTACCCAGTGATATAATGCAGGATTTCAGAAAATATTATGACACTGAAGATTCACAGGTAAAAATGGAAGATTGAATGCAAGCCATTATCTCCAACCATCACCAAAACTAAAGTTAATTGTTTTAAAAAGCTAAAAAGTCACAAAGTCAAAGAAAAGACAAGAAGTGTTAATAATAGAATAATGATGTCAACAAATTATTGGGCTTTCCAGCAGCAACATTGAAAGTTGAAAGATAAGTGAGCAATGCTTCCAAAAATTTAATGAACAAGCCAAGTGTGATGGCTCACACATGTAATCCCAGTACACTGGGAGGATGAAGCAAGAGGATAGCCAAGTTTGAACTCAGTCTGGACAATTTAGCAACTTAGCAAGACCTGTTTTGCAATAAAAAAATAAAAGGGCCAGGGTATAGGTGAGTATGAAGGCTTTGAGTTGAATCCCCATACCACCCTAAATAAATAAGAAAAATTAATAGTCAATGATTTCTAAATTAGAATTCTATACCCAGCCAAGATGTCACTCAAGTATGAAGAAAAAGACATTCCAAAAAGAGTATTCTTATAAACTCCTTTCCAGGAAGTTAACAAAGGATGTTGGAAAAAAAAAAAAAGAATAAATCAAGAAAGAGGAAAACATGAGATTCTACTCAAGAGAAATGTAAAAGAACTACCCATGATAGCTGTTTAGGAAACACACAGCTGCCAGTTCAGATTAGAACATGAGAATCAAGAATTCCAAGAGAGTTTCTGGTAGTAGAGGTGGTTGAGTGAAACAAGAGATTATTTGATGTGTTCGACTATATTAGGAAGGATTTTATAGTTTTTGTAGTTAGAAGTAGAAATGCAAAGAATTTTTGAAGTCCAAAATGAGGCAATTATTAACTATTAAACAGAAAGTTAGCAAGAAAGAATTGTAATCATAATATACTAGTTAATAAATGGTGAACACTTTATGTAAATACAGTGGTATAAACCCTGAGTATTTACTTTTCCAAGAAGTATGATATAATCATCTTTTAAAAGAGAAAAGCAGAGGGAGGTAGCTCAGAGTGGAGCCCTTACTTAGTACACACAAGGCCCTGGGTTCCCTCTCCAGCACCATAAATAAACCAAAAAGGAAAGAAAAAACAGAAGGCAGGAAGTAGCAAAGATTGGGAATAATGGGAGCTAAGTTCTCATTTTACAAGAATCAAGAAGCCAAAAAATGTTATTTAGAAATAGTGAGCTAGGCAACTAAACAAATACACATAAAACCAGAATGTGTTGCCCCTGGGTAATGAAACTCAGGGAGGTGTAGAGCAAGACATCGCCATTTCTTATTATACTTCTTGTAATGATATTTGCCACTTTTAACTTTCTAGATGTATTTCTTTCAGAAAGACATAATTTTAAAAATATGTACAATGCTGAAAATATTTCCAAATCAAAATTATGCAGAGTGCAATAACATGTTTTATTCTTCTTTTAAGTTCACCACAGTGCTAAACAGTGTCTTGCATATATTTGGAGCTCAATAATTAGATGTTGTTTAATTTACAACCTAAATAATAATTCAATGGAATTGGTAATGCATCCTGTGGGATATAGCCTGGAACCTCATTTTCTCCTTTTTAAAGGGATGGAGATGAAAACAGTGTGTTGTATAATTTTTTTGTCTTGATATTGAAAAGAGAGATTGGCTTGCACATAAAGAAAACCAGAAGGCTAGTTGTGTTTGCTACAGAATATTCGACACACTGTAGGTGTTCAGCTAAACAGTACCTTGCACTAGCAAGTCTAGAGAACTGCTAGTATGAACTGGGTATTTTTAGTTTTTGCAAGATTTTTGTCCTCTATAACTTTGAATCATGTTTCCAAGACTTATAAAAGGATTCTTTTCTTCTTTCAAAATTAATCAGTTAAAGATAAAGATATATTTATAAGAAGTATAAAGGGTGGTTAGTACATGGAACATGTCATCTGTCCCTGACCTCTCTTTCCTAAGGTAGACATTTCCACCTAAATAACATGCTCAGGTGTTAGAAATGACAAAGCATTTTCAGGGACAGGAAAGTTGACTGGCTTGACTGCGGGTGGAAGTTTATACATTAAATATCAAGAGCTCAAGGGACCCCCAAATCAGGAGTAATTACCATTGCACCTTGCTTATTTGGTTGAAGAATCTGAATGTTTCACTGATAGTGAGGATACTTTTTGAACAGAGAAGCAGCCTAGTAAGTGATACAATTTGCAGCAGAGACTCCAACATTCTAGCTCTAAGGTCCTGAAGACATTCATTCAGATGAGAGTGGCAATGAATCTGAGATGGAAAATAAAAAGATTATTACAGAGGAAGGAAATGACATGGCGAATTACTAGATATAAAAATTAAAGAGAAGACAGAATTTTAGATAATGACAAATATAAATACTAGCTTTTTATTCCAGATACGTGTTATTTGTTAAATCCACTGAGGTAGACTTTATTACCACCATCATCATTCCAATCTCTAGGTGAAGAAACTGAGGCCATGTAGAATTACTTGCCCAGAGTACCACAGTGAATAAGTGATTAAATCCAAGATTTAAACCCAATTGGTCTATTTCCTGGAAGGGATAACTCATGAAGGGAGATTGGATATCTGAAAGAATAGTGAATAGTTAGGTTCATGGAATAGGCTTTAAGTGAGAGTTCAGAGTTTGGGCAGAGTCACTACCATTTTGATAAAAATGTTAATTTTGAGCATGGATGGGTGTGGGGCCACGTGCAAAGCCTTGAATTCATGGGCCAACAGGATAAAAGGGGGTCATCAGAGGAGAGAAAGAAGAATTTAAAAGGTGATGAGAGAATTCAATGTTACAGAGACAGAGCTTCAGACATATCTTTAAGAAAACAAGCCAATCAACAGTTTAGAGTACCTCAGAGATATCTAATGAGGTAATAACTGAGTCAATGTATGAGCCCGATAGAAAAGCATAGCAAAAATCACTTTAGTTATTTGTCAGGAGTGGAAACCAGATTTTTATGAGGACAGGTGATGAAGAAATTAACACAACCAATATATTTTACCTCTATGGGAATTTGACAGTGAAAGATGGTTATATTGATGCAGTAGCTTGAGAAAGCAATGAGGTAAACCAAAGATTTATACTCCAAAGTAGGGAAAAACCTAGGCATGTTTATAGGCAGAGAATAGACAGGTGTTTTCTTTAAGTTAATTTTGACAGTTAAGAACAACCCTCAAAACACTAAGAAATCCATCAAACTTATCTCTGCAAGTGTCAGCCAACATATCATTCCTTCTGGATAACCCTAGGACCACAGCCAGGTAAAAACACATTCTCAAGGTCACTAAGTGGTGGGTCTCCTCCTCCTTGCCACTCTCTAAGAGAGAGGTGCTGGCCAAGAGAGGTGTTTTGAACATTCAAAGGAGAGGGTTGATTCTGCTAGCACAGGATCCAGTCCAGGACACTTATTCCTAGGACTGGAACAAGGTCAGTCGGGAAATGAGTGCTAGGAGGTGGGCTGGAGATGAATCAAAGGAAATGCTAAAAAGGCAGACATTTCCCAGACATTTTGAGTGGGTGTTCATGTCATCACTTGGCAAATCTTACAGCGGAGTCAAGACCCAGGGATTCTGAGGTTGCAGTCTGTCTCCACTGAATAGGCACTGCCTTGCATGACAAACAGTCATGCTATCAATGTCCCTTATACCTACTAAGTCAGCTGAAACAAAAGGACAAAAGCTCATAATCATCCTGAAGTGCTGGCAGATACATAAGCGATCGCTTTACAGACACAGACACCTCCTACACACCTGTGAGGTAAAAGCAAATTAGCATTTCTCCTTGAACAGAGCTAGAACTGAAGGAATCTGGGAAAATCAGTCTCTTACCCTGAGTTCCCAGCATGATACTGGCAGAAGAGAGACTAGAATTTAGTATTATTGTTTCCTCTGCTTGAGATTTTCCCATTAGCTATGCTAGCTCTCTCCTCTCTCTAATGAGTGACCCCCCTATGCAACCAATTTAGTTATTTGACATTTCTTGTATTTTCAATTTGAATCAAAAGGTACTAATCCAGAGTTAAATCCTTAGGCAGTAAGTTTGTCCTTTCTAAGTAGGGTGAGTAAAAATCCTCACCTTTTTGAATGCCCAGAGCTAACAATTAACTTTCCATCTTTATGTCTATATCAAATCTGCCGAAAAGAAAAATCAAAAACATTCCCCTAGAACACAAAATTCAAAAGCTGAAAAACATCTTAAAAATTAATCTCTGAGAGCTATTCTTTGGCAGGCAGGTTAAAAACTGAATTTGCATAAATCTATGGCAGCCTGGATCTCTTATTTGTGAGAATAAAATCTGTCTTTACATGCTGAATTTAGAGAAGGCTGGCTTTGCCCTTACAAAGTCATGAAAAATCCAGGAGGATGAGTACAATGAAGTGCTTTAGGAGTCTGGAGGTAAATTTAAGACAACCTAAGGGCTGGAAAGGAGGTGGGGTATGATAACCGAACTGAGAGGCTGTTCACAGAATGAGCTGAAGATGAATAGCAGAGGACTTGGATCTCAGCTAAAGGACAGTATTCCAGTTACTGAACTTTCAGTAAGCAGACCTTTTGAAAGTCATGATGTTCTGCGGAAAAATGTTTCTTATGTGAAAAATGAACTATTACCAAGTCATTCTCTTGAATTGTCACAAAAAAATTTCCAGCTCAACCATGATAAAATGAATTTTTCCACACCAAGGAACATCCAGGGTCTCTTTGCTCCTCTAAAATTACAAATGGAATTCAAGGCAGTGCAACAGGTTTATCATCTTCCATTTCCTTCAAGCTCAAACCTTTCATTGGACATTTTGACTGGTAATGATGAGACTATTGGATTCGAAGATATTCTCAATGATCCATCACAAAGTGAACTCATGGGGGAGCCACACTTGATGGTGGAATATAAACTTGGTTTAGTGTGATACATGTGCTGTTCATGAACCAGAAGGGCTGCATCTTGTGATAGTTGTCTTTTGTTATAGTTTGATGTACATGACATTAAAAGTACTGACGCAGGAGAATTTCTGCTTAATAATATTAATGGTGATTTGAAATTATTTGAGTCTTTGGATTGTGGCTGTGCGACAGTTGAAAGCACTAAAGGTAGATAATTTTGAAGCTCCTCCACAACAAAGAACACAGGAGAAATTTCATGAACACCAAATCAGCATTCAAAACAATTCTAATTAATATCCTAGAAAAAGACAATGAAGGTCACAACTCCATGAGGCCCAACAGAGGGAAGCCACCAGGCAAGGTAAGAAACTAAAGGGAAAGGGGGAAAAAAATAAGAAATAAAAGAGCCAACAACAGTAAAACATCATGACAAAGATGAGTCAATATCTATCAATTATAACTATCAATGTTAATGGCCTCAATTCACCAATCAAAAGAAATAGACTGATGGAGTGGATTAAGAAGCAAAATCCAGCAATATGCTGTATACAACGAACACACCTAACTCAAAAGGAAATTCATAGATTGACAGTAAAAGGATAGAAGACAGCTATCCACATGACAGGAACCCAGAAAAAAGCAAGAGTAGCAATTTTATTTGCAGACAAAGTAGATTTCAAATCAAAACTAATTAAGAGAGACAAAGATGGTCACTACATCCTTGTGAAGGGAACAATCCAAGAGAAAGACGTAACAGTCCTAAACATATAAGTAACAAATACAAATGCCCCCAACTATACAAAACAAATATTAATGGGCATGAAAAACAAAATAAGCACTAATACAATTGTAGTGGGGGAACTCAATACCCTAGTATCACAAATAGACAGATCATCTAGACAAAAAATTAACAATGAAATTCTAGAACTGAACCAAGTTATTGAACAAATGGACTTGCTGGATGTTTACAGAGTGTTCCACCCCACAAAATCAGAATACCCATTCTTTTCAGCTGCACACAGACTATTCTCCAAAATAGACCATATGCTAGCTCATAGGACATGTCTAAGTAAATGTAAAAGAATTGAAGTTACTTCCTGTATATTATCAGACCATAGTGCAATAAAGTTGGAGATCAATAACATAAGAAAACACAAAACTCCTGCAAACACATGGAAATTGAATAAGACCCTCCTGAGGAACCAATGGAAAATTGGAAATTAAAGAAGAAATTAGACAGTTTCTACAAGTAAATGATAATGTCAGTACAACATTTAGGAATCTATGAGACACAATGAAAGCCATTCTATGTAGGAAATACATAGCAGTGAATGCCCATATTAGAAAAATAGAGAGAACTCAGATAAATAACCTAATGCAGAACCTCAAGCTCCTAGAAAAAGAAGAGCA